GGCCTATCGTTATTTTTTATTTGTGCTATCATTAGTAATTTCTTTATTTGTTATTATTTTATTATTAACTGCTTAGCTTGATTTAAAACTTTGAATTGAATAAAAAAATGACAAGGAGGCTATCTCGTGCTACTGCAACAAAATTACCCAACTGTAAAATCAAAAATACACTGAGTGAGCAAAACTTTGTTTAATTAACATTATAACTAGCTATCTCACAATGTTTACATATGAATAAAAGCCTACATTAAAATCTGTCATATAAATTGGCCTTTTCATTAGAAATTAGCCTAGAGATTGCCACCATTGATGGACACATTTTTTTTTTATAATATAAAAAATATCTGTATGACAGTATATGCTGCAGTTCTTCCCTGCTGTACCGAATATCTATACTTTTCAAAGTATCATATCGAAGTTATAAATTCAAATATTGTTACAAAATTAATTTTGTAGGGTGCTACAAGTTTGTTAACATTTCCAAAGGGTGCCGCCACTAAAGAAAGGTTGGGAAACACTGTTCTAAAGTGTTAAATTAAGTGGAAAAGACAAGTCCAAAAACGCTTATAATAGCTGGATCTGGCAACACGGAGGCTGCGCGCGACCTCACTCACAACTCTCTCAAGTCTCGTTAACTCTGCCAGGGACGGAGTTTTCATAACACGGACACTAAACATTCTTTCAAACTGTCTAAACTGAATTATACATGTCATGCAGGCATTCATATGAGGAGTTTAACAGCAAATTAGTCATTTAAAGAACTAATTTTATTTTTGAACATGAAAAGTTTACCGAGGTCCGGACCTCGGTGGCCTCATAGCTGGTTACGGGCCTGGTTCCATGCATTTTTCAAAATTCAAGCAACTGCCAAACTATCCTCAGATTCCTATGAAATAATCAAAGTGTTTGGGTGGAGTAACAAAAGACAGCAGTTGATATTCAATGTAGACAACATGAATAAGAAACCATATATATACAGTAAACATATGTATACTGTATCTATACATATTTATATATGCGTTTCCTTCATATATGTTTCCTTCATATATCAGTGCTTGTAAAGTGGCAAAAGAACGGTATAAGCTGATGTGTTGGTTCGGAGTGAATAAAATCCTGCATACTGCTGTCATGGCACACAGCAGACATCTTATTTTCAGTCAGCTCTACACAAGAATCAACATGAGACAAATGGGGTTAAATGCAACACTTTTTACTTAATTTGTCCTCTAGGCAGGGCAAAATGAGAGGCAAGACTAATATGCCTAATTATATTTCAGGATGAAAACAGACGTAAGTGTCTATGAAATAAGGCATACAAAAATGTAAATGCCATACAGTATTGGAAGTACAGTTTTTAGCATTAAAACGGTGCTTATCACTTTACTCATGTGCATCTCTCGACCACAGGCAGATTTGTAAAAACATTGTCACATTAATACAATTTAGCCAAATAAGATAGATAGATGCACATTCTATCAGTGTAAGTGAAAGGAATTTTCAAAAGTCAAAGGAATTTTCAAACTTTTGATGTACTGTACAAAACCCAAAAGTTGATAACCCAGAAAGTTTGAATGGAGTTTTCTTTTTTAAGTAGATTTTTTTTAAGAATGTCAATACAGTGCAGCTTTGCAAGCACTGCAAAGTTCGACAGAGAAAGAAAAAACTCAGGGAGTATACTGTATATAGTATATGCAAGATGTTTGTCAGAACTACACAGACACTACAAATCAAGAACAGCTAAAGGGAACACTCTAAAAATGCTGGGTTAAAAACAACCCAATTTGGGTTATTTTGGCAACCCAGCGCTGGGTCAAAAAGGGATGAACCCAGCGCTGGGTTGTTTTAACCCAACAAGTTGGGTTATATGTTTGACCCAGCATGCTGGGTTGGCTTTTTTATGGTTTACAATTACTACACTGCTAGGCTAAAATGAACCCAAATCGAGCTAGACATTAAACCTACAAATCTTGTTAATTTTTTTAATCACTTTTACACACACAGAATGACTATCAAAAGGTAAATATTTATAAGTGAAAACAGTCAAAAGTAACATGCGTGTAAGAAGAAATGCAGAAAAGTATGGCATTAACAGCTACAGAGTTTTTAAATGAAGCATTGAACATTTGTTGAATAGAACTTTTAAGATCAAATTTGACTTTTTTGGTCAATTTTATATATTGTTGTGAAGAGAAGGGCGGGTCCGAGAGCCGTGGGAATGGAGCGAGGCCGGTGGAGTAAATGCTAATGTGCGACACTTGCGCCACTCACCGATCTCGAGTCCCACGGAGGAGCTCCGGAAGGATAAAAGGAGGAGTGATGACAGTGTTGGACGAGAGAGGACCAGGCCTGGGTTTTATTTTGTGTTTTGTGTGTGGCAGTCGTCCGCGAGGGGCTGCCACTTTCACTTCTACAATAACTCTGTATTTTTGAAGCTTGAAAATACTGATTATCTAGACTTTCAATGGATTAACAAAAAATTATGAGAGAAAATTTAAAATATCTTCATTTGTGTTCTAAAGATAGACAAAAGTATTATAGGTTTGGAATGACATGAGGGCAAGTAAATGATTTTTTTGTGTGAACTATTCTTTTAAGAAAGGAAGACTAAGAATGATGACTCTCCAAATCAGACAACTCCAAAGTTGGTTTGAGTTCTGCAATGAAAAGCACAGACATCAATGGTTTAAATAAAATATGAACATGTAATCATACTGTTGTTGCATCAAAATGTGAAGTAAACAGGCAGGAGACTACAGAAACATTTATTTTCTAAAAATAACTCGCATCAATCTCAAAAGAATGATGCTCTCCTATGTCTCTGGCTTTCAACATCTACAAAAACAAACATTATTTTACTCTTAGTAAAAAACAAATGATAACATGATGGAATTCTGAAGTTTACTTGCCTTAAACCGTGTTTCCCTCTCTTCTGACGAAGCTGAGAAAATCTCCTCCTCACACAAGCAGGGTTCTGTGTTATTAACTCCTGGCGCGGGCACAATGAAGACACAAAGCTCAACAAGTCTGAAATATAACATGCAAAACATTACTTTTAACAATTATCACTTCATCAAAATAATTAGGCTAGTCTTTATTACATAACGCCGTTTCCTTTAGGAAACTACATTCAATTTAACCGCGAAAAAGAAGATAACGAATTAACATGTAAATATGTTAATAAACCTCTCTTAACACCTCAAAAAATTTAAATATTGTAAAATCTTATGTAAATATGACATAAGTCACTCACTGACATTATATTAAAAGCACCTCTTCCGTTCAGTAAAAGAGGCGAAGTCTGCGTATTTTTCAATGTAAGCTCTTTTCGGAATATTTCCGCCTTCCATGAAATTTCTAAATACTACCGGACTCAAACAATGAATGATGACTTTACATTTTTAATCTTTACTTACCATAAACCATCTTTCACTCGCACTCACTTACATCTGAAGACGCTGAGAAAATGGCGGCTTCTCGCACTGGTGTCGTCCGATGTTAACATGACATGAGTGCTCTCTTTCACGTCCGCGTTCCCAACCCAGCACCACTGGGTTATAGATCAAGACCAATTTTCAACCCAAATTGGGTTAAAACAACCCAACGTCCTTACCCAGCGGGCTCAACCCAGCGTTTTATAGAGTGAACAAGCAACCTCAAACTCTCTGCACAAAAAAAAAAACCCTACAAACAAAGTTTGTTTTGAAAACTTTCAGTAATTTCAAAAGGAGCCAAAAGCATGCATCAAAATTATGTATATCATGTTTCAGTATGTCATGTTTTTTATTCATAATCTATTTATTGTCCAGTATAGGCCAATATATAATAACCCTTTCTTGTTGGTTGTTGGTAATGTTTGCATTCTTTTAAGTCTTGCAGAATTGGATATTTACTGGGTGTCATAAAACTGTTACATTCATTTAAAATCAAATGAGAACACTTTAGATTTCCATTATGTGCTAATTCTACTGTCTTTCTGTCTCTTTCTCACACACAACAGAGCAAGAAACATGCCAACAAAGTGCGTCTGTTCTACATGCTCCACCCAGAAGATGGAGGTCCACCATCCAAAAGACTGAGACCAGACAATCCGGTATTTTCTAAAGCTTGTATGATAAAACTTCATTTTAGATTATGGTCTTCCTCTCTCTTATGCTTATTATTAATAATACAGTATATGTGGACATCTGGAGATACAATGTAATTTCATTGAAATACCAAGCCAAGTGGCATCTGCAAATGATTTATTGTTTTATAATATAAAACCTAAACAACATGTATTTTTGTGCAATGTTTTACATGAAAAGTGTCCTTGTGCAATTTTTTTTAAACTAAATGCCATGTGGTTTAATATCTTGTCTAATGCAATGACAAGTCATACATTTTAACTACATGCATGTGTAATTTAAGTTCCCAAACAGCTTTTGGGACTGCTGTACTTACAGTAAATGATAAGTGATATTCCTTAAAATAGGAAAATCACTAATAAGGTCTCTTTTCAGTCGTTTTCCCTAGATAGCAATTAGATTAAATGGAAAGCAAGTTGAGACTTAAGTTGCCTGGCTCTCAGTTATTTCTTTGAGAAAAATCCTCACCCCCATCTCAAAATTGTTTCAATGTGTGCTCAGATACTGAAGTCTGCAATCAAACACCAGAGATTAAAATCAAATGATCTGAGCTATTACATCCACATTCATTTTGTATTCTTACTATATCACACATTAGTTTTAGTATACTCTAAATGAGAACATCTAAGTGGAAAAAAACACTTACACTTAACAATTCAAAATAAAAGTATTAAATAACTATATTATTATAGAAATATGAACCTAAAGAGACAATTTTGTCTTCGGTGAAACGCTAAATGAGGGCAGTGGAGATTACAGGCACTGAGCTTTGATTTTTCTCTTGTTTTGTTTTTTTAACTCCTCAGAGACAGAATGTTAATTTTCCATTTCCCCAAAAGGCAAATGACGGGCACAGCAGTCATCTAATGTCTTCATGGACTCTGAATTAAGCCATGATTAACACAAGCTGTTTAGGATTCAGATAGACAACTTGGACAGGCAATGAAGAGTTTCAGGGCTTTTTATTCTTTTCTGGCAGTTCTGAATATACTATAAAACATCTTAATGATCCCAGTGCGGATTGATGATTTGACATACAGACACATACAGGTTGGTCTGACTGGTTATGAAGTGCCTGAGCGTTTGTTAATGCTTTCAGAAGGATGTCTGAGGGGAGGAGATGCTAGTTTATCACTCGCATTCAGTAAAACCATCCAGCTACCATTTTGATTGAATCGTAGTCTGAGCTCTTATACAGAGCTCATTAGTGGGACTGTTTATGAATAATTATTCTTGGTACCAGGCAGTCCTCTGCGATGACTGTGCCGTCACTTTCAAACCTCCTTCTGAGCGGATTGAGGCCGACGGGCCACGAATCAAATCCAAACACAAAACGAAGAAAGTACAATCCTCTAGACTAAAGAAACCAGTGCTGGACAACCTTTCACTGACTGAAACTTTGAGTCTGTCTTTTCACAACACTTTTCTCCACTCCACACAAATCAATTCAGACTTCTATGTCAAGAATAGATGTATTGAAGCAGATCTTTCTCACATTTGCTCAGCTATCAGTCTGGAATCAGTCAGAGTTCCCCTTCAAGAACTCGAGCTGCGTCGAGATTCGCTTTGGGAATGCCCCTGCGTGACTGCGTTCTGAAGCATGTGTAAAATCAGTCCAATGGCGCAGCGAGACGTCACGGGTGACGTGAGCACCAGGAAGTATAAAAGTGCATCTGGCAGAGCGCAAATTAGCTTCTGCTCTTCAGTAGCGCTCTGTGTACGCTGGCAGCGGTCCCGCTGTTGCCGAGGCACGGCGTAGACTGTTGTCATGGGGATTGCAGGTGGATTTAGCGGAGGGATCCGAGACGGGCTCGTCCTTTTCTTGGTCCTCACCCGCTAGATCCGCGGCTCTCTCTCAGTGTTCGGAAACCCGCGCTGCACTTCATTTTAGATTATGGTCTTCCTCTCTCTTATGCTTATTATTAATAATACAGTATATGTGGACATCTGGAGATACAATGTAATTTCATTGAAATACCAAGCCAAGTGGCATCTGCAAATGATTTATTGTTTTATAATATAAAACCTAAACAACATGTATTTTTGTGCAATGTTTTACATGAAAAGTGTCCTTGTGCAATTTTTTTTAAACTAAATGCCATGTGGTTTAATATCTTGTCTAATGCAATGACAAGTCATACATTTTAACTACATGCATGTGTAATTTAAGTTCCCAAACAGCTTTTGGGACTGCTGTACTTACAGTAAATGATAAGTGATATTCCTTAAAATAGGAAAATCACTAATAAGGTCTCTTTTCAGTCGTTTTCCCTAGATAGCAATTAGATTAAATGGAAAGCAAGTTGAGACTTAAGTTGCCTGGCTCTCAGTTATTTCTTTGAGAAAAATCCTCACCCCCATCTCAAAATTGTTTCAATGTGTGCTCAGATACTGAAGTCTGCAATCAAACACCAGAGATTAAAATCAAATGATCTGAGCTATTACATCCACATTCATTTTGTATTCTTACTATATCACACATTAGTTTTAGTATACTCTAAATGAGAACATCTAAGTGGAAAAAAACACTTACACTTAACAATTCAAAATAAAAGTATTAAATAACTATATTATTATAGAAATATGAACCTAAAGAGACAATTTTGTCTTCGGTGAAACGCTAAATGAGGGCAGTGGAGATTACAGGCACTGAGCTTTGATTTTTCTCTTGTTTTGTTTTTTTAACTCCTCAGAGACAGAATGTTAATTTTCCATTTCCCCAAAAGGCAAATGACGGGCACAGCAGTCATCTAATGTCTTCATGGACTCTGAATTAAGCCATGATTAACACAAGCTGTTTAGGATTCAGATAGACAACTTGGACAGGCAATGAAGAGTTTCAGGGCTTTTTATTCTTTTCTGGCAGTTCTGAATATACTATAAAACATCTTAATGATCCCAGTGCGGATTGATGATTTGACATACAGACACATACAGGTTGGTCTGACTGGTTATGAAGTGCCTGAGCGTTTGTTAATGCTTTCAGAAGGATGTCTGAGGGGAGGAGATGCTAGTTTATCACTCGCATTCAGTAAAACCACCATTTTGCCATTTTGATTGAATCGTAGTCTGAGCTCTTATACAGAGCTCATTAGTGGGACTGTTTATGAATAATTATCCAGGCAGTCAGGCAGTCCTCTGCGATGACTGTGCCGTCACTTTCAAACCTCCTTCTGAGCGGATTGAGGCCGACGGGCCACGAATCAAATCCAAACACAAAACGAAGAAAGTACAATCCTCTAGACTAAAGAAACCAGTGCTGGACAACCTTTCACTGACTGAAACTTTGAGTCTGTCTTTTCACAACACTTTTCTCCACTCCACACAAATCAATTCAGACTTCTATGTCAAGAATAGATGTATTGAAGCAGATCTTTCTCACATTTGCTCAGCTATCAGTCTGGAATCAGTCAGAGTTCCCCTTCAAGAACTCGAGCTGCGTCGAGATTCGCTTTGGGAATGCCCCTGCGTGACTGCGTTCTGAAGCATGTGTAAAATCAGTCCAATGGCGCAGCGAGACGTCACGGGTGACGTGAGCACCAGGAAGTATAAAAGTGCATCTGGCAGAGCGCAAATTAGCTTCTGCTCTTCAGTAGCGCTCTGTGTACGCTGGCAGCGGTCCCGCTGTTGCCGAGGCACGGCGTAGACTGTTGTCATGGGGATTGCAGGTGGATTTAGCGGAGGGATCCGGGCTCCTCCTTTTCTTGGTCCTCACCCGCTAGATCCGCGGCTCTCTCTCAGTGTTCGGAAACCCGCGCTGCGGTTTCTTCCCCCTCCGCCAGAGAGAGAGAGCCAGACGCTTCATCAATCTTCCTCCGAGGGGGTGGATGTGATGAGTGTCGAGACAGAGGAGACTGTGGACTCTCTTAACACCTCAAAAAATTTAAATATTGTAAAATCTTATGTAAATATGACATAAGTCACTCACTGACATTATATTAAAAGCACCTCTTCCGTTCAGTAAAAGAGGCGAAGTCTGCGTATTTTTCAATGTAAGCTCTTTTCGGAATATTTCCGCCTTCCATGAAATTTCTAAATACTACCGGACTCAAACAATGAATGATGACTTTACATTTTTAATCTTTACTTACCATAAACCATCTTTCACTCGCACTCACTTACATCTGAAGACGCTGAGAAAATGGCGGCTTCTCGCACTGGTGTCGTCCGATGTTAACATGACATGAGTGCTCTCTTTCACGTCCGCGTTCCCAACCCAGCACCACTGGGTTATAGATCAAGACCAATTTTCAACCCAAATTGGGTTAAAACAACCCAACGTCCTTACCCAGCGGGCTCAACCCAGCGTTTTATAGAGTGAACAAGCAACCTCAAACTCTCTGCACAAAAAAAAAAACCCTACAAACAAAGTTTGTTTTGAAAACTTTCAGTAATTTCAAAAGGAGCCAAAAGCATGCATCAAAATTATGTATATCATGTTTCAGTATGTCATGTTTTTTATTCATAATCTATTTATTGTCCAGTATAGGCCAATATATAATAACCCTTTCTTGTTGGTTGTTGGTAATGTTTGCATTCTTTTAAGTCTTGCAGAATTGGATATTTACTGGGTGTCATAAAACTGTTACATTCATTTAAAATCAAATGAGAACACTTTAGATTTCCATTATGTGCTAATTCTACTGTCTTTCTGTCTCTTTCTCACACACAACAGAGCAAGAAACATGCCAACAAAGTGCGTCTGTTCTACATGCTCCACCCAGAAGATGGAGGTCCACCATCCAAAAGACTGAGACCAGACAATCCGGTATTTTCTAAAGCTTGTATGATAAAACTTCATTTTAGATTATGGTCTTCCTCTCTCTTATGCTTATTATTAATAATACAGTATATGTGGACATCTGGAGATACAATGTAATTTCATTGAAATACCAAGCCAAGTGGCATCTGCAAATGATTTATTGTTTTATAATATAAAACCTAAACAACATGTATTTTTGTGCAA